GTGAGAAACATTTTAAAAAAAAAACAAAACCAAAGAAACAATTTCATCGAGATGCTTTGAGATTGAAACATCATTAACAACTTCACTAGTTACAGATAGCAAACCCCCTAATAAAGTTAAACCTTGCAGCCTGAAAAGGAGCTGGGGAAGGGAGGAATGTATAATATGATAATTAAATACTAATAACTCTATGGTAAATTTTTTTCTGAAGTCTGTTGGTCTCTTAGGTATATATATATCAAAATTTGTAGGTGATACAATGGCTTGGTTAAGTTTGTGGAAGGCTGTGAGTTACTCCTCTCCACATGGTCTGTTTGTAAGTAAGCAAGCAAGTGCCTTGCCTTCTCCACTCTCCTGCCAAAGACTTAAGTCTCTCACTTCACTCTTGAAAGGGGCACATGTTTCTTTGATATCATAAAATATTTGTAAGAAAGACCAATCATACAGCTGCACCCTAAAGGCACACAACAATGGTAGAAGCTGCCCTTTTACTGTTTCTTTAGGCCCAAGAAAAGGGAAACAGCTAACGCAGATGGATATGGTCTGTGCCATGAACTGTACACATTATAGGAATATTCATACAGTGTCACTCTTATTATCGCAACAAAGTTGACAACATCCACCCATTTGAGGTCACAGGCACCAAGGATGAGACCAGCACAAACTCCATAAGGTTCTCCTGCCTTCACAGTTCAGTGGTTCTGTTGGCAGGAGGTGGGGAAGAGTGTTGTGAACAATCTGTTGTACGACCCAGAGCCTGTGGAAAGCAGATACGGATAGAGGGAAGGAGGCTGGGTGGTAGCAAGAGTTATTATGCATTTTACACTGCTAAAACCCCTCATACACAATATCAGCACCCAATCATGGCCTGCAGCAAACAGCCACACTCAGGACACTACTGTCAATCCTCAGCCTTTCTAACCTGAGGGATTTTTCTGAGTTCATGATGAACTTTATTCAGCAAAGTGACCCAATCCAAGTGTCCTGCAGACATCACAAAGAGAAAAACTTATTTAAAACATATAAGTTCTGTTGCAACAGAGCAAACTTTGACAACAAAGTTTTATGTAAATCACTTTTTCCCTGTGATTTGAGATTTTTGGAAAATACTTTTCAACAGAAGTAACATTTTTTTGATTTTATGAATACCTTAACAGCATACATCTGTCACTGGAAAAAGACAAAACCCAAGAGAAGAATTTGATTGAGACACAGCCTTCAGTAAGAAGAAAGCTATAAATCTCCAGCATGTACTCAGGAAATACAGCATGTCAAAAGAACTGATATATCATGTGCAGTTACTACAAAAATTTAGAGGTTGCTTTATTCAGTGCAAAAATTAATTCTATTTAGATCAGCCCTTACCTGCAGTCATGGACAGTAACAACGACAAGCTTGCCACAGCATTTCAGAGGGTGTTATGACTGCTCTGTAGGGTAGCTTTTTTAGCTTTCACCTGCTTTTGTAGGGAAGCAAAAATCAAAGCTGAAACCCTAGGCCTCTTTTTCCTTGCAAGATGCGCTACCCAGGCAACCTAAAACTTGAATGTAGTTAGTTACCATCATTCAAAAATAAATTAACCTTGGAATGTGTGCCATGCTGATAGTATCACACAGATAACTAAAACAGAATTGATAAATCTAAGTAATTACTGCTTATTAAGCTGGAGTACATCTCCCCCAAATGCCAGATAAGCTTCAGTAAGGCACCGAAGACATAATGACACTTTTTGCAAGAAAGGTGGTTTCCTACAGTATCCTGTTTAGATCTTCTTGGGTGGTCCAGTGGGCACAAAGAGATGCTGACATCCACCCTTCTGCTGATACTGCACTGATGCAATAATATTACTTTATGCAGCAAATAGGGAAGGTGACAGTAGAAGACAAAGTAGCAATGATTCATGTGCTGTCGGCATTAAGAGAAAGGTGTTTTCAGAAAGAATCCAAAATTCACTTCTAGGCAAAGGGCCAGCACAAAGCAAAGGACCTCCAACTTGCTCAAAGTGGTGTTTAAGTAATTGGCAGGCCCCATGCCAGTCCTGTAGGTTAATTTCACTCTCAGATTAAGGAAAGAAAATGCAAGAGAGTCAAAAGTGAACAGAAAACCCCATCAAGTCAGCAACATATGCAGCAAAGCAAGGGAGTGGCAGGTTGTAAGGAGACAAAATAAAGTCAGGAGGGAAGGACAATAATATATGTTGCCTGGCAATTAAAGAGTTAACAAAGAAATTACAGAAGAGGTGATGCATTGGGCAGATTGTTTTAGGGAGCACCTTTTGAATGATTGAGCTGGTTCACTTTTCTAAAGGAAGTACCTGTGAGAGTTAAAGTAATTTAATGATCAACTAGCGAGGAGCACTTCCCACTTAACATGGCAAAAAGTTTTCTCAAATTAAGGATCTTAACTATCCAGAAATGGACAAACCAACCAACCTTGAATGATTCTGTTATTTTGAAAAGCAACAAAATGCAGTTTCCCTTCTAAAAATACGTTCTTAGCACATTTGGATGTTTGAAAGACATACCATATCAAAATGTCTAACGCAACAACCCAAAGTCATGTATTAGCTACGCATTAGAATAAGTTTTAAAAGTCAAAACAAGTATTTCCAATGTGGTGCTACACTGGTGGCATATTCCATTCTTCAAAACACAAACATTTGTGGTATTCACTCTTTTGTGCCCTCTCTCAGTAAGGCAGCACATGTTGTGATCGAACTGCACCAGTAGGGACTGCCTTTACACCTGGGCTCACTCACTGTGCTTACTTCTGGACTAGTATTCTTAGGGATGGGCTTAAGCAGACCTTGTTATTTGAAAGGATTCAAACCACTACTGTAGCATTAACACAGTAAGATGCTACTGACTATGATACAAACTTTATCTCCAGGCAAAACAGATTTTTGAAGGAAAGATCTTTCTATCAAATTTGTCAGAGAATTTATTATGCTTAAATTCTATCACTAGTTTCCTAAGGAAGCAATTTAGTCTTCTTTGCAATTATTCAATTATGAAAACCAAGACTAATTAAAAAGGATTATCCACTTGGGTACTGTAGCAATGCTCTCCCTCCAGATTTTGGGGTCTGGATTTTACTCCTTGCAAATACAGATCTCCCATCTAAGTGGACTCAGCAAAATCTTTAGTGTTTGATCAACACCAAAGAGTTTTGATGAATAGACAAAAAGCCTGTACTTTCTTTTAGTTGCACAGTGTTACTAGGGAGATAGTGTAAATATAAACACAATCATAATTATAATTTTGTTAATTTACATATATTTCCAAGAGGAAAACCTGAGTAAACAAAGCAGAACACTGGAGTAATGACAATAGCATAAAATGGTACAAGACTTATAACACTGTGCATAAATGACTAATTACAAATACATACATAATTACATACTAAACATTTTTTATTTGTAAAAGTGAAATATGTTGGAAATTAAAATAACAGCAAAAAGAACACAGCTGCTCCTTGTTAAGCAAGCAGTTGTATACCTTGTTCAAACAACTATGCTGCGCCAGCCAGCCCTCCTCATACTGCAGTGATATGCTGAACTAGAAGACATCCTGACCATTCCAAAGGTTTCCAGCCTTTAGAAACAGCTCACAATGGCCTGTAATGAAGCATGCTATTACTATTCTTCTTAGTTTATAGAAATGCTGGTATTCAGAATTTTTCCTAGAACAGACTCTTTGTGCTGAGAGAGATTCACTTTATTAATCATAGGAATGATTTCTTGTAGTGACTTTGTGGTATTTGTTAAGGGTGATTTTTGTGGCATTTACGGTAATAAAGTAGAAAAATTGAGATTATAAAGTCTCTGGGTCCTTGTTTATTACAGAATCCTGTGAACCCACAGCCGTGATCTCCGCACACCTGCAGGCCAAGTAACCTTTCAGGCTGTGACAATTCACTATTAAAACTGTTCTCGTATTTCATACCACAGATATTTGCGAACCCAAATGCAGAAAACAGGATATCAGATCGTGACCATACAGCCTGTTAATGGATGAAGTACACACAAAATATAAGTGTTCAAGGGGGCAGGGAGAGATTGCACATCATATGCTGCTCCGGCTGGTTTGGAGCACTGGTGCCCACACTTCCCCTGGGGCTGACTACTGCTAAATAGCTGAGAACAGCTCTGATGTGCCCTCCCCAGACAGGCATATCATCAGTCCTGCTGGCACCAAGTTGCCTGCCACCTGAGACAGGCTCAAGAAGTACAGCCATAAAAATGATTAGTACTTTTTTTAACAGGTTCTTTTACTTACGAAGCACCAGAAACATTTAGGATACATTTTCTCCTCTCAGATTTTTGTCCAAAAAAAGAAGGTAAGATAACACGAACACACTGAGTGCACACATTCCCCAAATTTCACCACTCAGAAGTGCAAAAATATGGCCTGACTTTCACAAAAGCTCCAAGAACTAGTCACACTGTAAAAGCAATTTGCACCATAAATCCATATTACCGTCTACGGCAGGGTTAACAGACCTATGCCAGAGTGTTTAGAAGCTAACAATATCCTTCTCTGCTTAAAACACCTGAAACACAGCATTGACAGGAAACTCCATACAAACTTCAGACAAAGAATAGATAAAAAAAAAAAAAAAAGGCATTTTATAAAACACTGATGTGTTTTGTTTGTTAGTAAAAAGTAACCTCTGCCAAAGGCATTTAAGTAAGGATGATGGAGAAACTGAGATGAATACTTTGGTAAGCCTTACTGCCAGCTTAATATCCATAATGAAAATCAATTAAGTGAACTAGGCATGTTGTTAGACCTTTTTCCTCTTTTAAAACCCATTAAATATTGATAAGAACTTAGAATCCTTACTAATGCCAGTAGCAAAGCATTTTATGTATATTAAGTAAGTTTTAATTTTTATTCTTTAAAAACATAGGCTTTATGTCTGTGCTTTATGTTCTACCTACATGAGACTTCAAACAAGTCTGTGAGGTGTTATGAAAGCATAATAATATAAATGCCTACCTTTTTCAGGAACCGTACTCCATAGGTAAATATATAAAGGTAAAATGTAAATCTCCACCTGCAAAAGGTACAAGAGATTAACTCTAGGATACCAGGTTTACATAATTTACAGTTCAACACATGATTTCTTCTAGCACTGCCAAACCACTACACCCTGGTCACATTAACAGAAGTTGAAACGAAATTTTTGTCTGGTTTTCTACAACTTTTGTTACCAAGCACTGCGCTCATTTGGCTGCTTTTCCTGGCCTCGTTAGCTCTCTGAAAATACTGGTTAATTTCACCTAAACATAACAGAGAAAAACCCTCATAAATTTTTAAGGATAATTAAGTTTTTTTAAAGTTTCATGAAAACTAGCAGAACAGCAAAGAGAGGACAATTTGTACATCTGTTGCAGGGAAGTTCACCTGTTATTAGACACCAGGACAAAGATAATAAGAAATGTTATTAATTCTTCTACAGGTGACTTTGAAGTAATGCATGCTAAATACACTCTTTAATTATGAAAAGAATAATTCACAATGAGCTAGAAATTCACATAGCAGATTCCAGCACTTCATACTTTGCTTTAGAGATTGCATTTGTGTCAGATAGATATGCTGGATACAGATACATATATCAACAATTTACATCAGCTTCCCAAGTGTTCCCTTGATAAAAGTGATTCTATATTTTACCAAACACACATGGAAAAATTGCCAGGCCTCTGGTTTCTTTTTTCAGAGAGAGGCAAACTAGAAGCTAAGAACAAGATGCCATGGAAAGTAAGAGAAACCACCAGGAGATTTAATACAAAATCATCCTCTTATCTATGTCTTTCTTCCTTCTCCACTGAAAGAAGACATACAGAGTAACTTCCTTTCTTTTGGACCCATTACTCACTTAGGAAGAGCTAACGGAAGTATATGGAAATAAAATCATAACCTTGTGCAGTGTGAATTCTTAAGAGGAATTCCTGTTTGGTTTTTTCCCCCCAAGGTTTGGAGTGACTACACATACATGCTTAATATAAACACCAGTGAAGTAATATTCATAACATTTATAGCAGGATGAGATTTATCTTCCTTTAAGTGAGGCAATGCTGCAACGTGAATCATCTTCAATGACATATTTTACAGCACTTACTCTCCACTGGCAAAACTATTGGTTTCCTGTTAATTGGCACTGGAGTGTGTTCAAACATTACTGAAATGGTTACAAAAACTGAAAATGTTTCTATCTAAAAGGTTAATCCAAATCTTTCTCTTCAAAGCTACTTTTACAGGTTAGAAAGACAGTTGTGTCGTACATAAGTAACACTCTGATAAACTGAGGAGAGTATAAGAACATCAATGAGATTTAAATTTTGATACTTCAGCTGAAGAAAAGTTATCTTTTATCCTGTAGTGACAGAAATACCAATCCCTTCAAGAGTTCAGTCACTGCAGTAAAAGGGCTCACTATTTTCTAGTATGCTGGCAGTTTCCTCAAGATACTGAGAAAACAGACTACTTGGAGACTAAATGTTAGTTGTGCTGGTAGAAAATCTTCAGATCATGCACATGGAAGAAACTGCAAGTACAGTAATATGGATGAAGGATTTATCTGGGTGACAATTTTCTTGTTAGGCCAATCCTGTAGCTAGGAAACCTGCCGTTTAACTTCAAGGTTATATACATCATCTAGTGAAAGTTTTAAGACCGTCACTGAAAATAAAAATATTAGGACAAAAAAACTGTCTAACCTAATCACTGATGAGCACTCCCAGTGCCCTTCTTTCACTTTTAAATGTGAGCAGTTATGATAAGTTCCTTGCAAAGAGTTTTATCACCTTTATTTCACGTTTCTTCAAGCAAAATTCATAATGCCTTTGAGGACATTTGTAGCTTGCTGTTGGGAGATGCAACATTCCATAAAGGAGTTCAAAGGCAGCCTGACATATCTGAAATATGTTCATGGTTGAGTTTTAGCTGGTGGGTCTCAGAGACTTTCCAGTCTGCACAGACATTTGGAATACTCTGCAGTATTTCCTGCAGCTATCACCCCAAAGAAAAGAAAAAGATCCTTTATTGAAACAAGCAAATTCAAACCCTCCAATTTCCCGATCTAACTTTCCACCCACCTTCCAAAGTACTGCCTCTGCTGTAAACTTGCACTAGAGCCATGGATTGCCGTGTAGGAGAATTTCTGGAGCTTTGGAAAAACCTCAGAGCCAAGAGCACTATGTATTATTTGGGTCTGCCAAGGACAACCAACTTGCACAAACTGTTCAGCTGCTACAAAGGTGATAATTGCACACAAGGATATGATAAAATATGCTCTTTTTCCCTAACCTACCTAACAAGTGTACTTGGATTGAGCATCAGAAGATGAAGCAAGGCTCAGAACTGAGTGATAGACAAAGGTGGTCAAAGTGCTAACTCCTTAAAAAGATAAGTAATATTATTAGGAAAAAAATTGCTCATTCCTGCTGAACAACATGCCCAAAAGCTATTCTACAAAATTTTGTCTTGGTCAAACTGCAAGAAACAAAAATTCAAAACAAAACAAAGTTGGAATTGGCCTCACAGCATGTTTATCATCATTAATCAGCTAACTCTTGTGGTAGCAGAGCTACAAAAGACTTTCCACTGCTTGTAGTAGGCAGCTAGCCACCTTTTCTGCAGGTTTCAAAGGATAGTTCTGCCAGATGAATAAGCCAACTGGAATCTCAGTCTCATACAAGGAAGTCCAAGGAATTTCCCACATTGTTTTACCACTACTTGTAGATACTTTATTGCTGCAATTAAGAGCAAAAAATCTATAGGTAAAATAGATGAATGTATAGTCGATGACTTGGGATGGACAGGGAGAAAAGGGACACAGACTAGATTGTGAAGCTGCATTACTCACTCAAAAGCATACAGATAAGGGCAGAAGGTATGTGAGAAATAAGTTTCATGCAATGCAAACGTGTCCAGCAAGACTCCTCCAAAGGCAGACTCTCAAATCAGTACTCTTGCAACAAGTACTCTAATGTGAATAACGGATTTCAATCTACACTATGTACTTCTTTATCCCTGTATTTGGGTCTCACTGCAGCCCACTGATGAGGAAAGCAAGTGAAGGGAAACAGCTAGGAGTAGTAATCAGGTCCACTCACAGTACAGCCAGTGTCCAAACCACTTCAGTATTTGGGAAACTTGGGCAAAATGTTCTTTCTCTCTGTACAGAGCATCATAGAAGAGGACATCTTTCTTAAGTGTGAGATTATCAAGTCTTATTCCCAACTGAATTCACAAAGTAGTAGTTGATTAAGTGCAGATTAAGTCTTTAATTAGTGCTAGAAAACAGTCCCAACTCTCATGGTTGGAAAATGCCCTTAGGCTGAGCACAGTCTTAATAGTCATAGAGCCCAGGGAAGGGAAGATGCCTGGCCAGTGGTATAAACCCCTTCTGGTACCCTTTCTCATATTCTGCTCAAGGCCCTCCTTAACCATCAGCAGCTCAAGCTGAGTGTCCACAGGTCACTGGGGACTACTGTTGTTTGGGTCACAGTTGGTCGTCTGGAAGAGGGAAAGTAACAAATTCTTCTAAAGTAGCAGTAGCAGAGCCCAAAAAATAGGAAAAGTAAGACAAGATCTGTACTAAGATGTCTTTTGTTCCTCTTTTCCCTCAGCCATACTCAATGCCCTATTAAAACCATACAATGGAGGCCACTAGGTGAAGCACTCTGTTGTGGATGACGCCCACATCAATTCATCGCATTTAACTGAAAAAGGAAGATAACTGAAGCTGTTCTGTTTTGTGAGAATTTATTCTGACCCTCAGACTTGAAACATTCCTTCTGGCAGTTGTATAGAGATTTGAATGACCCATATACACACAAAGCAGGCTGCTTAAAAGACTTTTAAGTTAGTTTGAATCCAGCAAACCCAGATGAAGGCACTCAAGGAACAAGTGTTCTGAAAGACCTGATCTGTCTGCTCGCGATAAAGTTCATAAGGTTCACTTTAGTCCTGCATTAACATGCCTAAAATACTTCCACATCGGACCAGGCTTACACCTGGTCTTTTCAAGCTCGGAGTTAGAGAGATCAAATTAGTTTACATATGGCCCTTCTGACAAATTCAAGTTGTGATAGTGGTTACCAGATCAGTGTTTCAAATGTGGATGTGACACACTGTAGCAAAAAGTCAAGCTAAAAAGTGACTCTTCCATAACAAAAAAATAAATTCTTTTCTAATGCAGTCTTAAAACGAATGCTCTAGAGACCATCAAAGATGCAGCAACAGATCTGACTCCTCTTGTTCAACATCGGAATGCATTTGCAATACAGAGCATAGCCAGTTTCTTAACCTCTCAACCCTTTTAACTTTGAGCTGCCAATGAAATTTTAAAGATGCTTCAGCATGTGGAAAAGTTGGAGAGCCTGTGCCAACTACTCTGCTACACCCTGTGCTGCTCAATTCAGCAAAAACTATTCCAGTGCCCACTTGGGCAAGCACTTCACTGATTTCAGGCATATGTCTAACCATGTTCCCTTCATCACACTGATGAATTTCATCTTTCAAATTTCCCTCCAAGTTTCTGCTCTAAAAGGTGAAATTAAACTTCAGCTAATAAAAACAAATTGCTGAAGCAATGCTCCAGCAAAGCACCCCCCAACCCCATACACACCACACATTTTGCAGAACCCACCACATGGAGTTTGTGCTCTGTGTCAGAAAAACGCCATCCTCCCCACAGATCTGCTGTCCAGCTGAGTGAGCTCAGTACAGCTGCTCTACCAGGAAAATAACTGCTTCTTCCAAGGGTAAGGATGAAGAGGCACAAGTCTCTCTGCTATTGCAGTTTTCCTTTTCTTCCATTTCTTTTGCAGGAAGATTGACAGGCCATGCTGTGAACAGCACCACTCCAGCAGAGCCCCATCTTTGCAGCACCCACCTGGCAGTGCACAGTCCTTAGGGCTCTGGTGCCAAACCAATGTCTGCTGCTCAGAAATGGTGTGCAAAGATCCAAATCTACCCAACTGACTTTTGGCAACCAAACATGAAACATAATAAATGCACAATATTAAAAACATAACAGCCATTTTA